AAACGAAAACGACTCACCAGAAACGGCCGTTCAGTCTGTTAGTAGTGTTTGCCGTAAGTGTATCTCAATGGATTAGTCTCGTGATCGTGAGTGATAACTCGAGTGCCGAAGAACGATAACGGACTCAAAATGGATCAGCAACAAAAAGATCAGGGTGAGATCAGAATCTTCAATTAGTGAAAGTTGCCACAGGCAGCTGACCTCGACAAAGGCATTGAGTCTGCGATTTTTACCGTAACATTGCACTTCTGAGTAAACGTTAAACAATTGTTTACATGTTCAAACTAGTTAATATATATGTATAGTCAAAATAGTCATCTAACTAGTTAAGGAAATACAAATATTTCCTTAACTAGTTAGATGTTTTAGAGGAATTAAATAGGTGTTTGAAATATAATATTAACTATATTTTTTTCAATCTTCGCTTACGAATATCTATAACGTTTGCGATATTTCATATTTGTTTTATGTTTAATTTATATTTAAGTTCCTTACATATAAATTTCTTTTTCAATTAACTACGAAACCTCGCTCACTGCAATAATTGATCTTTGTGATAATTATATACACATTTCTAAAGATTTCTAAAATGTGTAAACTAAGTATATATTAAGTACTGCTCATTCTTACAAAGGAGGGTTTTTATCGAATGTAATTTTATTTTTAAATCCACCTTTGTTTATGTTTGTGGAAATTCGTTTTACGCGTTATTTATCTAAATTATCTACCTTAAACCGCATTGAGATACTGACATCAATAAAAGACGGTTGTTATTTACTTTAGTATGAATTACTTTACCACATTTTATTCAAGGTTTTATGATAAACGAAAATGTTTCTTAGATAAAAATGTCAAAAAACCTTTTATAAGTGCCTATTTTAATTGCAAAAACTCGTTTCAACATTTATGTGTCAACTACCTGTGCCCACGACTTCGAACGTGTGAAATAGAACTTTTTTCTTTCAGCAGACTTTCAGCAGTATAAGCAGGCATAGTATTTTTTAGTTGCAAAAAAACACATGAATTTAAAAAACAATAAGCTATTTACAGTACTAAAAATTACTGTAAATTTATTTTATCACATTTTATACACGAAGTTTTTAATTAATCGAATACGAAAACATAAAGATTGTGCGGGTTTGATACACGGGTTTGTAATAAACTGAAATGGCAAATAGGACGAAATTATTGGAATATGTTGCATTTATATATATCTAATCAAAAGCCTAAAAAATTAGTTTCAAATTTCTAACTTTAAAAATGACGTAACTTCCATACAAACTTTGTAACCCTATTTCAACCCCTTTTTACGTACTAAATAGTAGCCTATGCCCTTTCTCAGGCGCTAGCCTTATCATATTCGCTTATGCGTGATTGCGTAACACACACATATATAGTTACTTTCACATGTATAATATTTATATGGATAAACATAATGGATTGAACATTATTTGAGGTTTAACGCCTAAATTTTATCCTGCCATTATTTTACCTATTTCCCACTACTATCATATTCAATCAATACTTCAAACTCATTAATAAAATTCAAAAGGTTATTTTCTTTTCAGAAATGCCTGATTCCGGCCAGAAAGTTGACGCCATTCAGAAAGCGATAGGATCCTTCGGCAAATATCAGTTTTTCCTATGTTTTCTTATGTTCCTTGTCAAGTTTCCCGTAGCCTTCCACCAAATGGCTATAATATTTTTGGCTCCAAAGACTGATTATGTTTGCTTGGATAATGACCTCCAAAATTCTTGTCCATGTTCAAAACCCGAATATGATAAATCAGTTTTCACAAATACAATTATAATGGAATGGGACTTGATTTGTGAAAAGAAATGGTTGTCGAGTTTTACACAAACTCTTTTCCAATTGGGTACTTTGATAGGTAGTGTGGTGTTTGGAATGGCATCTGACAGGTATGTACATGTAATCATAAGATTTTTTGTTTAAGAAAGGGGAATTCAAAGATTAATTAATATATTTATTGCAGGTATGGAAGAAAAAATCCCTTGTTAGCAGCAGTTGTTTTACAATTAGTGATGGGATTGGTTGCAAGTTTCGTACCGGAATTCTGGTCTTTTACATTTGTTCGATTCTTAGTTGGAGCATCAGTAGGAGGAACAATGGTTACGAGCTTTGTAATTATTATGGAATCCGTCGGTTCCCAATATAGGCACGTAATTTCAGCCCTCTATCAAGTTCCTTTTAATACGGGTCATCTGCTCCTACCTGTCTTCGGATATTATATAAGAAGCTACGACAAATTTCAGCTCGCCATTACCATTCCTAACATAGTTCTATTGTCGTTCTTTATTCTTGTAACTGATACACCCAGATGGTTGATTGCAATGAAAAGGACAGACGAGGCTGTAAAAATAATAGAGAAAGCAGCAAAGATGTGAGTACAGTAATTTTTATACCCGAATGTCTGACTGAATGAAAATCCGATTTAGATTTTTTAAATGAATTATAGAGATAAAACAATGTATCATTTATTTGCAGGAATAATCTACCCACGGAAAATTTAGCTCAAAAAATAGGGGAATACCAAAAGGAAATAGAAAAACATAATTTAAAAAAAGGCAGCATTCTGGACTTATTCCGAACACCAAATTTGCGAAAGAACATACTGGCGATGTCGTTTAACTGGTTAACGTGCAGTTACTGTTTCTATGGTGTTTCGCAATATGTTGGTCAGCTGGGTGGCAATGTATTTGTAAATGTAGCTGCTAGCGCCAGCGTTACTATCCTGGGAACACTTTGTTCTATTCCATTGATGAAGGTAATGGGTCGTCGGACTATTTTGATAGTATTTAACTTTATTTGTGCGGGAGTCTTAATAATTCTCTCTGTGCTTCCACCCGGATCCTGGTCTGTTGTGTGTGCTTGTGTTGGCGTTGTCTCCAGTTTTGTGGTGTTTGTAGTAGTGTACCTGCACTGTACTGAGTTATTCCCTACAGTGGTGCGCAATGCTGCTATAGGATTTTCTTCCATGATGGCTAGAGTGGGGTCAATGATAGCGCCATTTGTCGTGGGACTTGGTGATACGTCGCCAGTCTGGGCAGCCCTCACGTTTGCAGTACTACCATTATGCGCTGGATTTGTTTCATTTTTGCTGCCGGAAACGAAAGGGATTGAACTAATGACGACGTTGGAAGAAGGAGAAAATTTTGGAAAGAAAACAAAGAATGTAGTCCAAAAGTGATAAATTAATGCATCTATTTCTGTAAATATGTTTAAATATCGTTAAGTAAATATTTATATAAAAAATATATGTTGTTTCCTTTTTTATTTAGAACCAAATTTGTTAAGAAGTAGTTAAGAAAAACAGTTGTTGGTGACGCGAAGATAATAAAAATAAATATGACAATAGAGAAAACCGCTTATCAGATATAGTTAATTTTATTTTTTACAATGTTTGCTTTTAAATGCGTAGTAGTATATTTAAAATTCGTAAGTATTTTATATTATTTTGTAGCCTTTTAACAAAAGTTATATAAGTCTAAAAATAGTAGGCACATTAGAAATTTAAATGTACTTTTCTATTTTTTAAATCAAAAGCGTAGAACGGACAAGAAGAACAAGAATGAAACTCTTTGCCACTTTTTTTAATTGTCATACTTTTCAATCAAGTTTGCAATACGCTTGTAAGCTGCAATAATAATACCATACTCTACAAATAAAAACAGAATTGATGCAGGCAAAGTGTTTTAAATTACCAAATCGTCAAAATCGCAAAATCTTAAAAAGTCACATTTAGGTTATGTAGACATCACATGCCTATACGATATTGATAACATCAAAGTGGAGAATAATATATCTTTACATGGAAAAAGCAATATTAGGCTGTTATATCAAATTGATGGTAGGTATTATGTTTTTGATATGACATTGATGCCATAAATACGCCTTGCCAACGGACACAACTCGTTAACCACTTGATATTAATGCTAATAAACATTACATATTAAATTTTTCAACATACATGTAACAGATATGAAATATTTTTATAAACAATACATTGAGAACTAAAACCTATTTAGAAAACACAGAATGAGATGATAAACAATTTACAATTGAAGTATTTAATTATTGATTTATTAATGTTTTGGTCCCGAAATTTCAACGGATAATTTCAGCGCGCTTTTACGCAGGACGTCCAGTGACGTGTTTTAACCACTTAGCTAATAAGACGTTTTAAATAATTTTTAATATAATATTTTTTATTTCCTTACTATTTTAGAATGTTACAGCATATGATGGTATTTTTTAATAATTGTATAGTTACTAGTAACTAAACGTTGCCACCTCTCACTATTAACCTTCAGCCACATTGCTTGGGTAGTGGAAAACTGTGATACACCCATTATGCACGTATAAAATTGTCAAAGGACCAAGTTTTTGAACTTTCGTGTCATAAACAATCATTAAAAATGTATATAACTTGCTCAAGTTCTATAAATGGGACTTCGGAATAGAGTCAGGATTAGGGTATAATTCAGAGTCGAGACTATATAATAATAATAATTTATTTATCAGACAAATACAGTCCACTGATTGATTAGTAAGTTAGTAACAATAGTTTCTTAAGATCTATGTTAGTAGAATTAGTAAAAATAAGAAAAAAAGTAGTTAAACATAAATATATGACGTATATCAAATCCACGTTTGACACATGGATACTCTTATCCGTTGGACTCCTAGGCATCCAACTGACAAGGGAATTTTTCGTTTCCGAAATGTAACAGTGAAATTTCACCGTGCTCACCTTATGAGATGAATAACTTGACGAGTCCTCATAATCCACTACAGGCGGAGAAGATTTATAATTACCGCTTTGATCAGGAATCAAACGCGATTCTCTCGGACTCACAGTCTCTTCAAGAAATCCTTTTAGCCAAGAGACCCTTATAAAAAACTTACCTAGCCTACTAGATTACAAAAATAGGTAGGCAGGTTTGATAGGCATCAAAAATTAAAGTGTCGTATATCAATCATGGCATTAATAAATAATTTAATTGGAAACTTTGGTAGATATCAACTATATCTGTGTCTTATTGTTTTCACCAGTAAATTTGGTGTAGCATTTCATCAAATGGCAATATTGTATCTGGCGCCACCAGTAAGTTACACTTGTCCAAACAATAAAACGTGTTGCGATAATCCGGTCTATGACAAATCAGTTTTTAAACGGACCATTGTTATGGAGTGGAATTTAATATGTGAAAAGGCGTGGTTAAAAGACTTCACCCAAACGCTCTTTCAATTCGGTGTTCTAAGCGGAAGTCTCTTGTTTGGCATTGCCTCTGACAGGTAACATGAAGTTATAATATGACTACGTCGATTGTTGTAAATTACTTAGATAAAAACTAAAATTTATATAGGACGTTCTACGTAATCTAATATTATTGAATCCCAATTATCATATATCTTAGTATCTATTAACTTGCGTGCCTTATCCAGAGGTTTGAACTATTATAACTATTTTGGTCTTTGACCCAAAAATTCAGGCACTGAAGGGATCTATTTGACTTTGAAGAAAAGTTATCAGTGAAACTGCTGCCGAAATGTGTTTGGCTTATGCCCAATTTTTCAATACATATTCATTCCGTCACATAAGAAATAATGAGAGTGATACGTTTTCTAGATTTGGCAGAAGACCCACATTGTTATTGGCGGTGCTACTTGAAGTCTTCTTGGGAGTTATATCCTCTTTTCTTCCGGACTACTGGAGCTTCACTATCGCTCGGATGTTTCTCGGATTATCTGTGGGTGGCATAATGGTCATTGGATTTGTGCTTATTGTGGAGTATGTTGGGGGGGCTTATAAAGATGCTATATCGGCACTTTTTCATATTCCATTCACTCTTGGTCATATATTGTTAGCACTGTTTGGCTTTCTAATAAGAGATTATGTTCATTTTCAATTGGGGATATCTTTGGCAAATATAGTACTTATTATATATATTTGCTTACTGCCAGAATCCCCAAGATGGCTTATGGCAACTGGTAAAGTCTTGAGAGCTATTAAACAAATGGAACACGTAGCAAAAATGTTGGTATAATTATATTCTCTTCTTATAACTACAGGAAATATTGAAAATAAAAAAATCGATTTTTTCCAGCAATAACCTTCCAACTGAAGATATAGAATGCCAAATGCAATTGTATCTTATCGAATGCTTGAGGTCTGGGCAAAGAAAAGGGACTGTGCTAGATTTGTTTCGAAATCCAAGCCTGAGGCGGAATATTCTTATAATGTGTTTTCTCTGGTTTGTTTGTAGCTACAGTTTCTACGGAATGGCTCATTACATAAGTCACATGACTGGGAATGTGCATCTGAACATCGTGGCTTGCGGAACAGTGTGTCTCTGTGCTTGCCTCATTGCAATTCCTCTTATTAAGGTCTCTAAACGAAAAATATTAGTATGTATACCAAACGTAATGTCGAGTATATGTTTTTTATTTATAATAGTTATTCCAGACGGAATTGGATCGGTAATAATGGGTTGTTTGGGTATATGGTGCAGTTTTTTAGTTTTTATTGTTATTTACCTCTATTGTTCTGAAATGTTTCCGACAGTAGTTCGTAGTTCAGCATTAGGAATAGCGTCAATGATGGCGCGGTTAGGTGCGATGGTGGCACCTTTTGCCGCAGCTTTAAGACCGTTCGGAAGTTGGTGTTCTCCTTTAGCGTTCGGAATTTTACCGCTAGTGGCAGCACTCCTTTGTTTAGTCTTACCGGAGACAAAAGATTGCGACTTAATGATGACAATCCAAGATGGGCAAGCTCAAAGAAGAAACACTGAAACTAGTACTGAAGAAATAAGATAATCCTGTCTTAATCTAATATGTATAAACATTTTCGATACCAAGTTTGTAATGTATGTATAAAATAAACTACTATAATCTAAAACATTCGAATTATTGTAATTTTATTGTTCTTAATGATGGTTGTTTTCTACCTTGATAATCGAGATTCGTCATATCCTCTACTCAATATAACGTTATGTAACTCGTAAATTATTGAATTTGAACTAAGTTTCTAAGGATTCTAATCTATTGATGGAATTTCTACGGCTTCCCCAGTCGACCGTCAGTTTATGCCTGCCGTCATGGCGGCAGGCCCAATCATTTGTGGTGCTTGGTATTTTACCATATTAGCTGGTAAGTAGATTTTGACATGTATAGTTCCCTACGTAAAAGCTGGTTGCGTTATAAACGATTTAATTCTTTGCCAAACAGTACGGCAATAAAACTAAAAACGTTATTTCAAAAGTAAAATTTTGATATTCTCATTGGTTAAGAGATGCGAGATGACGTTTACAAAGATTTAAAAGAACAAAGTCGCGGACATCAACTAGACAACAATTCACGTAACTTATAGTTGTTTCTGGACAGCAGTGTTGGCCTAGTGGCTTCAGCGTGCGACTCTCATACCTGAGGTCGTAGGTTCAAACCCGGCTGTGCACCAATGGACTTTCTTTCTATGTGAGCATTTAACATTTGCTCGAACGGTGAAGGAAAACATCGTGAGGAAACCGACATGTCCTAGACCAAAAAAGTCGACGGCATGTGTCAGGTACTGGAGGCTGATCACCTACTTGCCTATTACATTTAAAAAGTGATCATGAAACAGATTCAGAAATCTGAGCCCAAGCCCTAAAGAGGTTGTAGCGCCACTGATTTATTTTTTATTTTTATAGTTGTTTCTGATAGACGAACTATCGCAGATATCATTTATCGCTAAGAGTATAAATATAATAACTTTAGAAGATATTTCTGATATTATTTTCTAACGATGTTGATTTCAGGGTTTTACATACTCTACTGTCCGGTAATGTATTTGATGTTTATCAATCATCACTTATACAGGAAGATAGTAGATTTACTCTTTGCACTATGGGAGCTGTACCCCGTCGTTAGTATTACCTTTACCTTTTAGTAATTAGTACACTCATACAAATAACTATTATTGCATCTGTTTTTAGCTTATAATTTTCCCTTACGTAATTTATGTTTTAAGTAACTGCTTGTAAGAGCTTGCCTAAAGTAAGAGCTTGAATAAATGATTTTTGACTTTTACCTTTTATACTTTTATGATGAGCCATGGCCTACTTAAGTAAAATATTTATTCCGTTGGTAATCGATTCTGGTTTACACGCAATATACGTATATCACTAAGCCACATAAGTACGGTATGATATTTACAGGCGCTCTTCCAATGGTGCTATGGGACTAAGTTGCATCATTACGGCGATTATGTGAATCCAAACGAAACGACAATCATTGTTATGAATCACCGGACAAGAGTGGATTGGAACTATGTTTGGATCGCTCTATATCATGCGACACAGGCAACCTACCCAGAGTGTACTTGTAAAGAGCCGGTAATTATGGAGGACGCAAATTATTTCGATACGGTAGCTGGCGGCAAATCTAGAATTAAGATTGTACTGAAGGACGAAATTAAATCCGTACCGGGAATGGGTACGTAATGTTTCTCTTTTAAACAAAGCGTTGAAATATATTGCACACTTTCGGCTTATTCACTATTGATACAACTATTATTGGTTTTTGATTAATAATTTAACCAATTCAAAAGGACATATCAGAATAAGCCTAGTAGACTAAAATTGGGACGGACGATGGCGACGTAATATACAAATTAAGTTTCTCATGTAAATAAAATACATTCCCTTTTTGTAATGAGAAATAAAGTTCTTTAAACATAAACATGGTTGACATAAAAAAAGCACCAGGAATCTTAAGACATATCATAATAATGTGGGATTGGTACGAAATAAGTAAAAAAAATTCCTTGCATCAGCAGCAGGTGATAACTGATGACCCTTGTTTCATTTCCACAATTAATAGCTTTAAAATGAATTATTGGTTAAAATATATATCAACAAACAATTTATACGACCGATGAATAAATATAAAGATGCATTTGTTATCTGCACATAAAGTATATTAATGTAGAGGTACCCTTTGATGTACTTCCTTTGTGTGAGGTTAATGCTTAGAAACATTGTTAGTACATTTTTTATACACAGTGGCTTCAGTATCAATAAAAATGTCTCCAATGTGATGTTTTTGTGCTAACTCAAAATTTGTGACAGGAATTAATCAAAAAGTCTAAGTTAACATTTTTAAAGGTTGGATAATGCAGCTTAACTTCTTTCTGTACGTGAAGAGGAATTGGCAAGAAGACCAAGTGAACATGTCGCAGTATGTGGAATATTACAAGAAACTTCGTTATCGCCAACGCGTCGTGCTATTTCCTGAAGGAACCGATTTAAGTGAAGATAACAAGCGGCGCAGTGAGAAATATGCTCTGACTAAACAATTACCGGTTAGAATTATTCATTGTTTCCACAGAATGGTATACATTGCGCAATTTGTTAGAAAAAATCTCTATATATAAAATTCTCGTGTCACAATGTTCGTTCCCGTACTCCTCCGAAACAGCTCGACCGATTCTTATGAAATTTTTTAAGCATATTCAGTAAGTCTGAGAATCGGCTACTATCTATCTTTCAAACCCCTTAGTGATAAGGGGTGTCCACCCCAAATTTTAATTTTTTAGACATTTTTTTTGAGTTTTTTTATGATACAGCATGCAAAAATACATACAACCCCTAATTTTCACTCCTCTACGATCAACCCCTATTTTTATTATTGTAGATAGTTATTTTTATTGAACTAAAAAAATAATGTGTCCTAGAAATAATATAAGTACAAACGTTTTCCGGGTCAGCTAGTAAATTTATAAAATGCATTCAATGTTGCTGAGACGTAGATAGAGCACATGTTAATCACATACAACAAATCACATTCTTGAAATACAGTAAACTTCCATAGTTACATACATATGTTTCACGGGGGTAATTCGTTAGCCGACTGCCTATTGTTACACGACTATGTTTACAAAAACCATAAAATCAAAGGTCATGAAACAAAACGTGACCATAATAACTTGAACATGGACTGCGGTTAGTTAAATAGCTAAAATTTATAACTCTAACAACTGAATAAATGGTTATTAATATGTTTATTTTTATCTTGTTTTCGATCTTGCCATTGTGTCCAGGGACTTTTCCTCTTATATTTTTACTAAAAAGATACATAAATTAAAACTCGAGATACGCTCCGGCTTCATCGGTAATATTATACATATTTACAATATTTATGGGTGAGCCGGGGCGCAATTTCCTGCGAGACTCATTCTTTCATTTTTGTTTGCCTCCTTCAGATATTTTTTTTATCGCAGATTTTTGCATATATTATCCGCATAGTCTTGGAACTTGAATATTATACTTTCTACTAAGTTCAATCAATCGAGAGAAAGTGCGTATCTCATTTAGCTTTCTTCTCACGTTTTTCAATTGCCAATTATACATTAGTTAGATGCAAAAAATACTCGTTATTATTGCTTTGGTCAGACGAACTTGTAATGATCGAAAATAAAGTATAAAAAAGTATAAATAAATGTATGTCCATTACGCACATAGTGCGGCCTCTAAACCAAGGTTATATAACATTTCTTCTAAAATGTGTAGCGTAAATAACTTAAAGGCCGGCAATGGACTTGCGAGCCTTCCGGCAATGTGACTGTCCATAGGTGGCAGTTTACCTCCTGCCAGTTCACCCCATGGTCACAAATCTATTCGTTGTAAGCACGAAACACCATTAGTATTCAAAATAACAAGCTGGCTTGGTCATTAGTCTTAAATTGCATTATATATGACAATAGGTCAATTGAATTGCGTCTCGGATGTAAATCAGTCTATAAGACACAGAATATAGAAGTTATATTAAATAATTTCAACTTTTGAAAGAATTCTTTGTCATGTTTATTTATGAAGTGACATGAGATTCTTCATATAAAAAATTAAATAGCTATTTGTGGCTTGTATGTTTAAGGGTATTAATATACAGAAGGTTACTTGTGTAGATGGTTTCACATATATTAAAATTAATAACTATTTAATGAAGTAGAAATATATGTATTTCCATAAACTTGGAAACTTAGAATACAAAATACCATCCGTATTATCTCAACGTCCGTCGTTCCAGAAATGAGCGTTTCTTAAGGCAGTTTTTGCCGTGCAATCCAATTCGACTCAGGGTACTTCAAGAAAAGAGCGTACCAGTTCTTAAAAGGCCGGCGACGCAGTTGCGAGGCTTCTGGAAATGTTCGAGTCCATGTGTGGTATCACTTAACATCAGGCGAGCCTCCTGGCCTTTATTTATATTTCTATATATTCCTTAGGTGTACGACTACGTATTGCATCCTCGCACGACGGGCTGGTCCACCCTCTGTTCAAGTCTACGACCTGCGGGTTTAGTGTCCGTATATGACGTCACTGTTGCATACGATACACCTGCGCAGACTGAACTTGATCTTCTCCGCGGGAAAATACCCAGACATGTGTATTTTTACTTTAAAAGGTAAAGTTATCAACTTTAAGATACGATTAAAATACACGTACAACACAACTCCACACACACCAAAGGTATTACGTCTTCTAAGTTGTTTGATTTATTATGATTTCACGGACATTATCTTTTTGTATAAATGTATCATCTATTTTTATGTTTTAGTATAATTGTTGTTTTTAATAAACAAAAGTAATGAATAAACAATAAGAAAGTTAGGGTTTAACTTTTAAGTTACCTTTGATTACCTTAAGTTGGATTTAATCGTATGCTACAATCAAAGCTTCGAAACCACAGTGATTGTTCTGTCCTCTGACTAAAGTTTATTCTTTATATAAATAGGTTAATACAGTAATTTAAAAACGTAGATTAATAAAAGAGAAGATTATAAATTGTCTATATTATGTGCCAATAAAATATGGGTTGGATCGCTTCGTGCGATGACTATTTAGATGTTCAGAAAACTAAATAACCGGCCGGTCTTGCCATATACTAAATTCTTTAATCATTGTACTGGAGAGGTAACTTTTGATTTACAGATTTTTTAATGTCAAAGATTCCGACTCTCTACTCTAACCGATATTTGATAGCTACGATCATCTATTTAATCTACTTTCATTCATACCAATTATCAATACTAGGTGTTCAAAGCCTACGTATCGGCTTTTAACAATATACATCATTTGCTATTTATATACACTTACACATCATTTATACTCGCCGGTATGATAGCTGAGTTGACAGCTTGAGGTTACTTGATAAGCTGGACACATTGTTCGTGAGATAATGAGAGACAGTTGAATACTTAAAAGATATTTTAATATCCGGGTATACTCGTAACTTCGAAGTACCGTGGTCGTTGAACTTAATAAAAACTATATGAAAATATTTTAAATGCGAGTTCCAACAATTCCATTTAATTAGAAAAAGTGACGATAGGGAAAGCTGTTAGTAAATGGACGACATCGGAAACTTCATGATTTATTTTATATTAACAAGGGTATATTTCCCAGTATAGAAAAAAAGGGTCCGTGTACTTATGTACGCGCGTAAGAAGTTATACTTCTTTGGCAATATTAAAAATAGTTTGGCTTTGTTCCACCTCCAGTTTTTGATGTTTCACTGCGATAAGATGAAAACTCTTTTTTTGTATTCAATTTAGTGCAGTTACACTGATTCATCAATTGTTTTTTGTCTTTTTCCTTATATTTGCTAGATAAAATCAGAAAAATTACATGTTTTGATTAAACAATGTGGTTAATTTTTTAATCAAAACATTACTCGATAATAATAATAATACATACGGATAGTTAACCTCAATTGTATTGAAGCACTTAGGAAGGTTGAAGAAGTTTTTTCACAAATATTATTAGTATTGGTTTAAATATTCAATTTAAATCACTTTGATTATAATTCAAAAAGCATCGCTAAATTTCTTTGAAAAAATAATTAAAACTCCTTTATTTGTTTAAAAGGTAAATGACAAATGTCATTATGGTCATTCAAAATTGTTGGCATACGAACTTCACGCATATTCTATTTTTTTTACTTGTAGATTGTCTTATTCCTATTCGCTCGCGCACGCTATAATCACACTCCTAATTTTGTGTCACGGGTGCGCGCGCATTGTAAAATTTCACTCTCATAAATTTTTCATAACGGCCTAAAGAAGTATAACTTCAAAAAAAATACTTTGGCGCGGAGAATTTTTCACCTTTTAAAATTGCAAATTACACAAAAATATAACATTTAAGTCATTAGTCGTAGGTAAAAGATAACTTTAAAGAATTAAATGACTATTTTTTAATTCACCCAAAAATACAAAATGTACTCTAAATGTAATTACGAAATGTGTCTAATAAAGAATAGTTAGTGTCTTATTATTTATCTTTGCAGATATGCTATTGAAGAATTGCCCAGCGAAGAGGAGGCTTTGAGAACATGGCTCATGAATAGATGGACTGAAAAGAATGCGTGTCTACAAACATTTCATACTGATGGTTGGTAATTTATATTTTATACGCCAAGTATATAATGTACACCGTGGTACACATAGAAACTATGACGCGTTGTCACACAATTTTTCTCAATTTCCCAAAAAAGGACATCAAAAAATATACATGTCGAATTTTAAATCTCCGTCAGGATTTTTCAGAGTCGCTTATAAGAGGTTGCGCCTGCTTATATTATTGAACATGTTCACAGGCAGGTTTTGGTATAATTTTCTATCCGGAAGATCCCTTTTTCATTAAAAATAGAGTCTTTAAGTGTGACTTACTATGAGTAATTTATCCGCAAAAAATGAATTTCAGCAGTTAACTATTTCAAAACATAACATTCATTCCTTCAATTTTATTTTTTAATTGAAGTCGTAGACAATGTAGAGTTAGGAGCGAGTGACAATATAACAGCGTATGTCCCATTCTAATAAGTAAATTAAACCATTTCAGGTGTAATTTCAGACATGACAACCAACAGGCCGGTTGCAGAAAGAATTCCACGCTCGCTGACGGCTGCAAAAATAGGTTTTATATTTTGGTCAATAATAGACATTTTCTTCTTCTATTGTCTCTGTTTTAGCATTATGTTTAGATTTTGGGTGTTGTACCATACGCTTCTATTCATTCTAGTCACTAAATACTGCGATGGTTTTCAGAAAATACAATACCGTTTGCTAAATAGATTGTAATTTTGCTTTTTGTAGACTTAAGAATTATTGTGTGAATTCTCAATGATGCCAAATTGTGTGTGAATAAATAAGAGTGTTTTAGATTTTTCTTTTATTTTAACTATCCCCAACCATAACTCCCAATTATTGTAATTTACTTAAAATTCCTATTTTATTCCGAATAACCAGTTCTACTAAAATAAATCTACAGTTATGTATCAAGCACGGGGGCTAGTCAAACAATATAGTAGGGGAGTGGTAGCGTTCAACGAAGAACTGGTGCTGTTCTTGCATATCAACAATGCAATACAGCCAGGAAATGCTTGAACCTTTAATGATATCATGTCCCTGGGATGTTTTTAAATGATTATAGTGTTTTTATTAATATTCATCGTTGTTACTTTGGATTAAAATTTCTTTTCAAAAAGTGTTTTCTTAATTATTAAATATATTTAAAACTAATACAACAATATTAAAATAGTGTTTGTTTAATTATTCTATCTTATATATAGTGAAGGACATCTTGGACATCGAATGAAGCTTTTTAATTTGCAGCCTTAAATACTGTGAAAGCAGGCATGGTGTAACATTACTTTTATAAAATGCAATTACGATTTACGAGAGTCTAAAGTTATAATTAAACTTGTAGTAGTGGTGCCTCTTCAACTAAATATAACTTTCTCAAACCATCAATATAGAAAAAACACCACTTGTATGTGACACATGAATCTATAAATCACAAATGAAGTTGAATTATTTATGACTATAACCTATATATATAATATACAACACAATTATTTGCCAGATCCTATCAATCATAATGATTAGAGCTGATTTTACGGCTTTAAGAAAGTAAGATAAAGAGCCGACTACGCTTTATGTATTATATATTAGGAAATTTCTTAATATGTATATTTGAAAAAAATATGTGTATAAAATAAGGTCCCGCACCACACGAGCCGTAATTTAGAAATTTATATATAAAAAAGGGTATGAACGTCTAAGAAACTAACATACATACAAAAAAGCCGTCTTGGAAATATACCATGGTAGTATTACAGTTAAACACATATTAAGGCAAAATTAGTGAACACGTTATATAAGACTTAATTTAAGCTAGAGTTATGTATTCATGTACTCATTCAACTCATTAAGATACTTCTTAATATATGTTTCCTAAGACTAATTTTCCAACACCTACTATGACAAGAATGGTAAATGCGCAGAAATAGTTTTTAAGTGCGAACTATTACGCAAAATCTTACAAAGATACATGACGACTTGAAATACATGAAATAGCTTTAAATTATATATCATTTTCTAGCTAATGTTACCATCATTTTTAAGATATTTAAGAGAGATTAAGTTAATAGGTTATTGTTACTTAATACTAGCTCACCGGTTTTTTTTTGTTATCATACTTTTCCATTTCTTCTATCGTATTTAGAAAGACTATGCCTTTTGTTTCTCGCAAAGGCAAGCACATTAAACCGGCCAAAAATGATACTGTACTAAATATTAAAACTGATACCCACGGAGCTGCATTAATATCCACCACGAAGGGTGCAAGAAACCCACCTATCCTAGCACACATAGACACAAATCCCATAGCAGAATTTCTTACTACAGTTGGGAATACTTCAGAAGTATACAGATATATCAAAATAAAAGATACGTAATTAATCACCTGACCGACAATCGCAAAACCTACAATTGTATACGTCATTTGACTGGGTATGAAAATAATAACCAATAAAGTAAGTCCTGCAGCAGCGAATGACAGCACAAGAGACACTTTTCGACTGCAGTACAGAGATGCTACAACAACCAGAAACAATCCTGGTACTATGCTGACGGCTGATATGAACACATTAACATATATATTTCCTGGTAAACGGCCAATGTACTGGTTGATACCAAAGAATGTGTGAGAACAGCAGAACCAAACTACACCATTGATTAACGTGTACATTCTCATCTTCGACGTCTTGAATAGATCCAAATAAGAGCCAGCATTGTTTTGAACTTTGCTACATTGTAAGACTTCCTTTTCAACAATAGTTTTAATGTTTTCTGTTGGCTTTTTATTTCTGAAATACATTTGATCAATTTAAATTTTAAGATATACTCTTTTATCAATATTATACTACAGAGAGATAACTTGGATTGAGATAAGGTACAGATATGTGATATTATGATTTTTAAACATTCTATTAGTATTAAGTTAGTGAATAAAATAAAATAAAACAATAGAAGGATAATATGTAGGCTTCCATTGCTAGCTTTTATACGAATACGCTATTTCATTTTCACTTACTTTTTGGCAATGTAGGTGAGAACTTTTACAGCCTCTTCTTTCCTTCCCATAGTAATTAACCATCGAGGGGATTCTGGTAGGAAATTATAATACAACAAAACAAATAGCCACGGCAATGATGTGGACAGTTGTAGATAGTTCCAATCTCTTACAAAATACGCTATAATAGGAAGTGTCGCGTAGCTGAACGTATAGGCAATTTCTATTAAACCTGTTAGGTATGGTCGGAATGTCATTCCTGAGAGTTCCATTATCATCACATAACAACAAATTAAGCTTCCTCCACACGAAGTTCCTATCAGAAATCGGCAAACAATGAACATCCATAGGTACGGAACGAAGGCAGACGTTGATACAAATAATAATTGTAATGCGAATGCAAGTAGAATAGCGGGACGGCGTCCATACCTAGAAATAGTAAAATGCAGCTGAAGTTTTCGATACATTCGATTGGTGCAGCTAGAGATTTAATATATATTCTTTGTCGAATGGGGTCATGCTCAATGGAACTTGGGTCAGATAGATTCCAGAAACCTAATAGATAATTAGCTGAACATGTTATTTAAAAAATAATTAAAGGCGTATTGCCTATCATACGTGGTGAGGACGTAACTAGATATTAAAAAATATGATTAGTAAAAAGGTAAACAAAATCTAAATGCGTCTAAAATAAATCGAGTAAAACAAAGCAGTAAGTCAATCAAAGAAGGTGACTATCGGTCGAGTTAAAATATTGAAGATGACCCTCAATAAAATTTATGAAACCAAAAAAAATATGGATTTCGAACATCGATTATCATATATAATAATACTTAAAAATGAAAATGTTTTAATTGATAAATTCTACGTATATTAAGATAAATATTTACCTGTCAGAAATATGCCCATAAGCCAGACTACCAGTCAGAATGCCGGCTTGTAAAACTGACTGAGATAAGCTACCAAGATGACGTTTCTTACAGATAAGATTCCATGTAGTTGGTACAGAACTGTGTATAGTACTTGTATCATAAACCGGGTTATCACACGGACAATAGTTAGTTAAATTGTACGCTCCTTCATCCATGCAAACATATTCAACGTTTGGCACAAGAAACACGACGTTAGATAATTGGTAGTCGGACGGGAGCCGACCCACCATCAGCAGCAAATAGATCAACACTTGATATCTTCCAAAACGACCGATAACGGTCTCCAGCAGATCCTCACTTGTCATGTTTCACCTGTTATCAACATATGTGGCATATAGTCAACCATGTACAAATCAATGGCGCTGAAGTACCTAAAATACACAATAGAAATTTGAATTTTCTTGTCAAGTTTACAACAAATACAATAAGTGTGCAATAAATTGCGTTAAGACAGGGCGACCCTCTATCGCCCAAACTGTTTACAGCTGTTCTAGAGGAAATATTCCGAAAGTTAGATTGGAAGGAATATGGCTTAAATATAAATGGCGAGAAACTGACCCATCTGAGATTCGCGGACGACATAGTGGTATTTGCAAATACCACTATGTCGAAGAATTACAAAATATGCTCATAGAACTGAATTCAGCTAGCAAAGAAGTTGGACTCTTAATGAACATCCAAAAAACTAAAGCCATGACCAATGGCAGGAATGACAGAGTAATAAAAATAGATGACAACACAATAGATTATGTATCAGAATATCTTTATATAGGTCAACTGATATCCAACCATGATTCAACTACAAAGGAAATAGACAGAAGAATTGGAAATGCATGGAAGAGATATTGGTCCCTAAAAGAAGTTATGAAAAATAGTCAAACAAGCATGCACATCAAGAGAAAACTTTTCATCATATGCATCCTACCAATTCTTACATACGGATGTCAAACATGGGCACTTACCAAAGCACAATGTGAAAGATTAAGTGTAACCCAGAGAGCGATGGAAAGAAGCATAATAAAGAAAAGAAGAATTGATAAAATTAGTAACAAGAAATTAAGAGATAAAACAGGGTTTGCTGACGTTGTGTATAAAACAAAAGTACTAAAATGGAAATGGGCTGGACATACCATAAGAGGAGCAGATAAATGGAGCAAAATTGTAACACTATGGCAACCAAGAGCCCATAAAAGAAACAGAGGTAGGCAATTTAAAAGGGCCGATGAAATCATGGAAATGGCAGGAAAGACTAAAACCTGGACGAGATTGGTGTATAATAAGGAAAAATTGAGGACAATGGGGGAGGCCTTTGCCCGTAGGCACACAGAATCAGTTATCGTAGATTAAGAAAAATAACAGTTATAATGTATATATTTTGTATTTCTGATATAAGGCTGTAAATAAATAAATAAATAAATAAAATTGCGTTGAGTGGCTTAAACGGTAATATTATATTCTATATAATCGTTTAGTTATTCACCTCTTTAATAATGTACTGAAATTATGAGAAGTAAAATTTTTTAAATATCGCTCTACAGCCTTGCGATTCTGTAACTCAGAAAAGGTGGGAGCTTTTAGTTTATTGTTTATCAGAATGCCAAATCATAAAATGACTGCTTCACGACTTATTTGAGAGCGACCGCCGATGCGAAAACCGCTGTGTGAGTTCAAAAAGTGAGTTACAGAATCGCAGGGCAGAAGTCTGTTTAAATCTTAAGCAAACAAGACAATTGATTAAAAGTAAAACTACTATATGTATCGAAAAACAGTTAAGTGAAGAAAGTGTCATCTCTATTGCCAAAGTATTAAGTCGTTTAAAAAAATATAAGAATTAAATTATATTTTACAAGTATTAAATTAGTGCCTTTATATTTTTGAAGTGAAACATCTTTAGGCGCATGAGGATAAAAATTTTACGGAACCTTATAGAAATTCTTTTTTTTTAATTAAATTTAAAGAGAATTTATGAAATATTAGTATTTTATTTTTATGCAAAATGATTTATTGTAATCTAAAATGACGAATTGTAATTTAAAATGCCACGTGTTTTTATTATCGAAGAAATAAATAAAAAAAAAAAAATTATAATTTGTATTAATATTCGAAATGTTTAATATTTCAATGACATTTAAATTCGTTAAATTCCTAACATATCTTCCTTTTTCACTCCCTTTAAGTCTCGGAAATCTAAAGTTTAAAATTTGTATAAATATGATCCAGACTTAAAAAATAGTTTGCCAAAGAAGTTTCACTTCTGACATGTGTACTTTGTACGCACGCACTTTTTTTTAATCGAGGAGATAAATTAATTTAAATTACTTACGATTATGTAAACATCCATTATATAATTCTATGAAAAAACTTGTATCATTCAGCTGTGATGTAGCACAGTAAGAGTTTATCACTGATAGAACGCAGGAGCTCCTTTTATGCCCACGCTAATCTTTAAGCAGTAGGTATATATCGTTATCTTTTATCCTTAACTCAATAATATATTACTGCACTTATATTTTTTTCGATATTAATTTATACTTAACTCTCAAGTATTTGGTGACACGATGTTAACATTAATAATAATAATAATCTTTAGTTTTTTTTCACAAAAACTTACATACATGCACAAAATAAAGCAACATTTATTAATAATGAGGAAATGCTTGTTTGTGTGACTCTGATACCTGTTAAAGGTAAGAGTACCTGTGTTATAGGTCATCAGGCCCCCTCTACCTTGGATCGCCAGAGCCCAGAAGGTCTTAAAACGTAGAGTAAATGTATGCTTAATAAACAATTGATATTACACATGCATGACATCATTAATAAAATAATTATATATAAGTAAACCACATGGAGTATGTTTATGTGTGTATGGGTGTGTGTGTCTGTGTATGTATTAACGAATGTGCATTTTTTTTCTTTACTTGTTATACTAATAAACTTTACAGTATTATACTTTAAATTATTAAATTACATTTAACATAAAATTTCGGGTCAACAACGTCATTTCTTTTACAATTATTCTTCAAAGTATTTATTCACTTTAAATTTTTATTCTCTTACATTTTATATTTCCTCTACTCTGGCTTATTTTAAATTTTATAACCACAGAAAATGGTAAACTCGTAATGGCACGCTATTTTTTCTATGTATAGTGATATTATGAAGCTAAAGAGTTGTTTATTAATTTAGTACTTAGTAACTCAGTCATTCACTCACGCGTTACGCGTTGAGTAATACATACTTTTTGTTAAAAAAATTGGATAGAAGTCGTTGTGTACGATTAATCAAAATCGACAAAAAAAAATATATATTAACTTTGTTATGTGCTATATATTATATATATAATATTATATATATATATTGTAATTAATGTGTTTATTATTATTATGATTATTATTTTAATATATGATATTAATATTAATTACTTGATATGTCATGTGGAACATGGTGTAATGGTTGCAGCTCCTAACAAACGTTGTGTAAAAAAAACATGGCGATTAAATAGAGTGGCGGAGCGTTTATTGCCAGTTCTTCTCTTCTGTTCTACGCCCTTGATTTGAGAACTGGCAGTAAATGTAAAATTAGAAGCATTAATATGTATTTCTTTACTGACGAGTCATAAGTGTTCATTATGTTACCTACATGATTAAATGATTTTTACTTTACTCTACTTTATATTTTTATTTATTATTTTGTCAAATAGGTCCCGCAAGCTCGTTTGCCCCCCTATTATATAAAAAAATATATATATTTATCGGTATATTTTTCATAAAACATATACATTGTATTATGAAAATTATACCATACATGCACATCGCACATCAATATTCTGGGAAGTCAATATTTCATAAGTGCGTTGTAAACACGTAAATGAAAGTAACCGTCAGCTGTTTATCTCTAGTAGAGATGAGATATCATAGACAATTAATTGTCTTTGTTATGACATCAACGGCGTATAAGGTAGCTTGTTTACGTCAAATTAGTTTTAGTACAGAAGTATTATAAAGCAAACACCATAATGGCCAAAATAAAGGCATGTTTTGCGACCTCGTCTAATTGTTGTTTTTTCATACAGTGGATTAAATATTATCTAAAGAACACAAATGTAGCAATAAATTATTAATTAGTTTCATTGCGTTGTCTTAAATTTCGATTTTTGTTTACTTCTTATAATTTAATTGGTTTGTGTAATTTTTTATATTTTTTGATTGTATCTTCGTGTATGTTAAGTGCTTGTCACATTAAAATTGTATTTTATTGCTCTTGTACCAATGTATTAGTGTGCCGAGCGTTGACAAGCTATTATAAATAAAGAAATATTCAGTTTAAAATTAAATATATTTAATTTCTAAAAAATAATCATTACAGTTTCGTTATATCACAGCCGTCATATATTTCAACTACAAGGTTCAAATAACAACATCAATCTATCTTTACTGTACAAACTCTTAACTCTTTTAGCTGCACAAGCTCCATGCTAATACTATTAAGCCAACCTATAAATACTTAAGATTTACTCTTCTCCCTCTTCTAAGGTATCTGGCAGTTTCTTTCCTCTAGTATCTGGTAATAATAAGCAAAGACAAGACCCTATCAGCGGCGTAATACCAAATAATACAGGCGGTAGCCATGGATTTCTATGTCCCAATGTAGCTATGAAGGGTGCGACCATTGAACCTATTCTAGCTACGGTAGAAGACAGACCGACTCCGGAATTCCTTACAACAGTTGGGAAGAGTTCTCCGGCATACAAATAAACTGTGGCGAATGATATACTCATGCCCCAAAGACCAGCGCAGCCAAGGACCAAGTGGCTGGTGACGGATTTAGGAACAACGGTTATGAGGAGACAGCTTAAGCCTGTCACGAAATTGGAGCTCATAAGTGTAATCTTCCGTCCAAGCAGTTGGTTAGCATATATCGAAATTATGGTACCGGGGACCTGAAAAGTAAAAAAAAACATAAGAATCTTATTAAGAATATATGTTAAATTAAGCATAGAAAAGTTTAGCCGTAAGATTGAGTGTTTAGTTAATTACAGTTTTATCTGCCCACAACTCTCTGAAATTAGTTGATTTTATAAAATATTTTCATATTATTTTTGGAAAAATATAATGTATTTTAAGTTTTTACTGGTATGGTTTATGATTAGATTAAATGAATTCTTTATTAATCAAATTGGACTCGACGACATAACTGTTATTCCTAGCTACAATTTATGTATCATTAGACTCAATCAAAGATGATTGATTGATGATGACTGATTCCCACCCATTCATTCAGACCCAGAGGTCTTGTATTTGAATTACTGCTGTGTACCAATAGAGGCCATTATGTAAGCGATAAGCGACAAAGTTACAGTGCTAACGGAAGGTTGCTGGTATGCTTTCGGTTTTTCCAGTTCTAGAACCAGCTTTAAGCTTAAAGTTAAGGTGGATATATATATATATATTTTTTCTTCTACGTACGGAACCAAATGCTGACGGCGTATGAGATACAGAAGGTGGCTCGCCTATTAAATAAATATCAAGAAAACGGCTAAATCTAAAGCCTAAATGAAGGGTTGTAGGTTCTTTACTTACCAGTATAGCAGCCGATATAGCGACGTTACTGAAAATGTTTCCTGATACATGCCCTATATACTGAGATACGCCGAAGAAGCAGAATCCACAGACAAACCAATTGAAGCAGATGGCTAAGGTCCTTGTCCGGAGTCTTGGAGTTTTGAACAACGCCACGAAAGACGCTCGCTCTTTATTAGAACCGCTGTTCACTTCCATTGCCATCTTTTGGGTGAACGATGCAATTCCGTCAGTAGAACGTCCATTTCTGAAAAACAGTATTTTTCTTTAGAAAGACTTTAAGATAACGGTGGCACTATTGGTTAGTTATCAGTTAAAGGCTATATAAACCACAAATAATGATTTAAATAAAATTGAAAAGTAAGAGGCGATCTCTTAAGCTTTTACTGGTCTATACTTTAAACTACATGTAAACAAACTATTAAATTTCGTAACTGTTTTTCATAATCAAACATATTTGAATGGACGACGGACTAAGTAAATTGTTTTTAATTTATATTATTATTATTTATTACTTAAGATGACATGTGGAACATGGTGTAATGGTTGCAGCTCCTTACACACGTTGTGTAAAACAAAGACTTGGCGATTAAAAAGAGTGGCGGAGAGTTTATTGCCAGTTCTTCTCTTCCGTTCTACGCCCTTGATTTGAGAACTGGCAGTAAATGTTAAATTAGAATTAATAATGTATATTTCTTTATATTCTATAAGTTAACATTGTGTTACCTACATCAATAAATGATTCTGGATTTGATTTGAATATCTAAATATGTAAATGGGAATATAAGCTATTTCGTTATGTATCAAAATAATAAGTACCGTTTTGCTGCATTTTCTAAAATCGTGCGAGCTTCGTCATCTTTACCAACTGTCAACAACCACCTGGGAGACTCTGGTAAAAGATAGTAGTAACTCAAAAATATTATTGATGGTAGTGAAATAGCTAGTTGAAAGTGGTTCCAGCTTCGTAGAAAATATCCAAATAAGGGTAACGATAAATGCCCGAGATTAAATGGGATTTGGTAGATGATTCCAACAGTGTCTCTGTATTTGGTTCCAATGAGTTCCATAGTGAGGACGAAACTGGTAACCATTGTTCCTCCCGTAGCGACGGCCAAGAAAAAACGGAGTGTGGTGAACATATGCCAGTTGACGGAGTAGGCAGTGGTGACACCAGATAATAACTGGAGGAATACAGCTACCAGAAAAGGAATGCGTCGGCCGTATCTGAAATTATAAAATAACAATATTTGAAAATTGTCGTTACAATTTTTTTTTCTCAAATAATTATCTACTACAGCTACTACTAATTATCTTTTCATAAATAATTAAAAAAACTTGACTGTTTAATGTCAATAATTTATTTAAGAATTTTTGCGTAAATTTTAAAACGAAAACAAAAAAAAAATTGTTGCTTTTGCTAAGTATATGCCATACTTAATAGTTATAAAGCAGGTTTTATGAATAACTTTTAAATATAATTATAATATTAATAAAAAAAAATATTGACATAATTAAATAAAAAGGACTAGAATTAAATTATCGCTTTCGAGCGATCTCTTCCAGGCAACCAATATTTTGTATAGATTATAAAACTTAATCATTTATCAGGATTTTATCACAAAACCTGCGTAAGCTATAACCGTATTGAATGACCATTCCATATAGCTGTTTCAATGAACTGCGGAAATTTCTAATTTAAAGTTAGTCTAATTAAATTTCCTATGTACTCATTACGTATGTAACATTTGAATTTGTTAGGAATCAAAAATGCGATTATTCATGAATATAAATCAATGTCATCGGCAACTTTGACCCCGATATTGTAATTGAACACGCAAATTTGGTTCATCATACATCTGGGCCACCGTCTCATTGAACCACTTTTGCCTTAATCTTATCCGGAAATACAACAGGATGTACCGATTTAGCAGTGGGGTCGTCAATTACCTGTCAGATAGATGTCCAAAGACCATGTTACCCACAAGGATTCCAAGCATGAAAATTGTTTGCGTCGCATTTTTTAGCCACTCTCTGTCGCACACTAAATCCCATTGCGATACAATTGTTTCACCGAAGACTGAGTGGTCGTACTTATATTCGGTACAGTTTGTACACTTGCTGTCAAATTCATCATTGCCTGAACACGTAAAGTTCATGGGTGGAGCCAGGAAGATAATGCTCATCTGATGCCAGGCGACAGGAAATTTTACTAGGAAAACGATGCAACATATCCATATCTGCCATTTTCCGATTGCACCAATCGCTTTGGTTATTGGATCTTCTGTTGCGGCTTGTTTCTGTTGCTCTACGTTGTTTGATTCGTTCTCCAACACTGAAAAAAAATATATTATTAAAAAATAAATAAGAGAAATCTAATAAGACATAACTTTTGTATTTTTATACGTAACTTTTCCATAATTGTATAATATCATAACAACTATAACATATAATTGAATACTAGAGTTTTTTTTAATGAACTTAATGTACTACTTTTGGAAAAAAAATTTATTATCCTATTAATGATTATTTGCGTAAAACGTTATAATTAATATTAATTTGATAACGTAATAATATATTTTAATAATATGATATTTTATCACTACAAATAATATAAGAATTTACTATAACGATATGACTCATAATGTATGTCACTTATATGTGAAATTCCTTTTAAGACAGATTTGCACGCTTATTATGTGTGGCAGAATATACGAACTTTAGATATACTTTAGATTGTACCACCATAACATTTTTGTACCATATTCTGGCAAATAAATTATTATTATAAGGGGTTGATTATACATTTAAAAATATGTGAATAAGTCGAGATAACGCAGAATTTATCATTAACATTTTACATAATTAATACTTAGAATTTAAAATATAAACTTAAATAATTTTACCATCACGCTTTTAATTTATTGTAAAACATTTTTCAACGTGTAAAATTGTTTTGATAATAAATCGATATCTCCAATAACCAATAACTATGAAAGACGTATTGCAATATTCAGGGTCTTCATTAAATTGTGGTTTCAGTAATGCACGTGAACAAAAAATAACTAAATTTCTTAGAAAAATGTGATTATTAGGTTATCCCTCGACTTTTCTAAGATCATGGGATCCTGATCATGGCGAGTTATCGAGTACGACTAATCGAGATAAGAAGAGATTTCGTCGAGAAACTCTCCTATTTCTAAAAACGGTTAAACTATGACAGTAAATAAAACTCACCAGCCTTATCTTTAATTTCAGTTTCACTTTCTACTGTCATTTTGAATTAACTTTATTACGATCTATTGGAAAAGACCACCGCGTCGTGTGACTCTACAACTGACTCTAAGCTTTCAAAGTGTCGGGTACTGTGCGAGTCCAATCGCAATTGTTGTAATAGTTTCCCGTGTTCGATTAAAATAACATTATCACAACCGGTGAAAATTTTAATTTGCGAAGCTTTGAAGATACTTTATTATTTGAATTAATTATAACATTTGTATTTTTATTTGTGGTACTATCATGCTCCTCTGGGTCGGTGAGGATTTAAATTAAAAAAAATATATTATGTCGTAGTATTTAGTAAAGTCTATTAACTTAAACTTTGCACTGCGCGATCTTGTCCTCAGTAATTTGATGATAATGTACAGATGTCTGCGGAGAATGACCTACAACCTATATTATCAGGCGAGCAGCCCTGCTCCTATAGATAATGAGCAGTCATAATTAACGTTCATGATTCTTGGCCATAGATTTCGAGGAAATACAATCAGTCGATGTGTACATAACGTTATATGTAAACAATCCGTCAAAATATAAAAAATATATTAAGTAGTTCCGCTTACAATCTGTATGTAAAAACTTAAATAACCAGGAAAATTGAATAACAGTTTTTTGCATTGAAATCATTATAGAATTATCTGTCTAGGTGTGTGATGCTTTATCTCCATCAACAAACAAAAAACTTACGTTTTATAAAGTAAGGCCCAAAACAAGGTATATTTAATATTCTGGAATCTGTCTGACGATTTTCGGTTCAATAAACTTGAAGTAAACATCAGTGTTGTAGTGGCTTCAGTGTGCGACTCTTATCTCTGATGTCGTAGGTTCCATCACTGGCTGTGCACCAAATGGACTTTCTTACTATGTGTTATTTAACTTCGAATGGTGAAAAACATCCTGAGAAAACCGGCTTGCCTTAGACCCAAAATGTCGACGCCATGTGTCAGGCACAGGAGACTGATCATCTATTAGACAAATTATCATGAAACAGATACAAAATCTGAGGCACAACCCAAAATTGATTTATTTTTTTAAACTTGAAGTGAAGTTTTTAATGAAACTATATATTTTTTATAACATGCTAAACACTATTTAAGTGGGTAATTTTAATTCAATAACACAACAAAGTTAATCACAATGTTAAGTATATTTTGTAGGTCTGCTTCATATCATTTCTTATACTGTAAGAAATAGTCTTTTTGTAAATATTTTAATCTATCACTGTCTAATGTTGCGTTGTTTTTTTTCTATGTAAGTATATAAATTGTTATAGTAGCTTATTTTGGTATAATAAAAAGTCCATTAAACTGGGCGTGTATTATAAACGGCGATGTGTTCACCAATAGATTTTTATTTCTACTGTGCGCTTAAATACTCTTTCTTCTGTGCCAAGTAACAAAAAATCGAGGTAAGTGTCAGACACAGATGGAATCTACGAGGGGCGGTCAAAAAGTTCGCGGAATAGCGGGGTTGGCGGGGGTGAGATTACCAGGTAGGCGCTACTTGAATAATCGACTCATTGTTAGTATACATACCAATTTTCAGCCTGATTGGGTAATTATCTTTTGAGTTATCAACGAGAAAACAAGTAAATCGGGAAGAGACTAAGAGCCACTATGGAAACAATTTAACATCGCGCCATTATAAAGTTCCTTAACAAACAAGGAAAGACACCTCAAACCATCTTACAATATGTTAGCTATTTATGGAGACATTAGCGGGTAAAGGGAGAAAACATTGAAAAGGAAAAATAGTTTAATGTTTCATTTCATTACCCTACCCTGTCATACCGCGATATTTTTGACCGCCCCTCGTACTTAACCAAAGTATTCAAATGGATTGAGATGCATTACATCATTGTGGGGTAACGGGACTTCTCAATGCAAACACTCTTATTCTATATCTGACATAAGTGGGATTACATTAGGTGTCGTGAATTGTGATAGCATGATTTGTTTTGATGTTAAGATCTAAGATTCTCCTTGGCCTAATGTGATAAGATGAAAGGTCATAGATTTGCGACAATTGCGAATATCTATTTCCCTTATTATGTACTTTATTACAACATTGCGTATTTTACGGAAAATATATAACAAACAATTTTTATAATGCCGATGTTATTGTTTTTTATAATTTATTCTGATTTTTAATGATTATTATCATGAGAAAATTCTTTTGATTCATCTAAAGAGAAATTTGATTTATCGTATTATTGGAAGTAATCGGTTGGAAAGTTAAACCTAGAAATGAAATTATACCTTGTAAGTTCCTTCCTGCTTCCTAAAGTTTTGCGATAAACACTTTGCAACTCTCTTTAATCGAGTTTAATTTTAGGACATTTCCCAATCCAATCCATAATGCTGTGATAAGCTATTAACAATTCAAACTGGGTTTCCTCTACCGACCCAAAACCAACATTCTAGTATAACTTTCAAAGGTCTAGTATAACTTTCAAAGTCCATTACTATGTGGGTCCTTATGAAAACAACTGATTCGGGTTTCATATATGTATTAAATTACATAATTTATTGACGTGTACAGCACGATAAAAAGTTTTACAAAAACTGTTAGGTAACAATTTAAAACCGAAAAGAAAGTATTGCATTTTTTATAACAATGATTTTGAAATGAAAAATTAATAACGGTATGCTTTAGTATTTTATCTGTTCTTTTCTTAGTGAATTTAAATCTTTATGAGAAATATAATATTCGTAAATACTTCTTATAGCGTAGGTATCATTTATTTAAGGAATAATATAACGTTTAATTACTCGTTAAACAAAGAGGATCAAAGCAACTGATAACGCCTTCTGTCAAAGAATTGAAGATCGATTACCCTGACAATTTATGATGTAATTTCACAAATCATTGCATTTTCTCTTAGCTATAAATATGTGTTGTATGTTCAATTATCAATTATTAAATTTCAAAACGCTAACTATAGACGTAAAGGTAGGCATTTCCTTGAAACAGTGCTTTCTGTAACAAGATGCACTTCCAGCCAGGGGTCATAAGGGTCATGACTTTGTTTACTCTTCTGAACATAGAGGCATGTTCTTGTACCAACAATCATAATATATCTCAAAATAAATAATATATTAATTAGATGGTATCCTCCAACAACAGGATACCATCACCCAAGCGTGTGATAATTAGTCAAAAAAGTCGAGGCAAAAATCGATCCAGTACACCTATGGAGTTGTCACATTAAAAATAATTTTGACATTCATATAGTACCGGTAGTTGCCTCGAATTTTAATAATCGGAATGACGGGAAGACGCAGAAATGAATTAACTTTTGAAACGTATAATTAATATAATTCCATCGCCATTATTACTTTACATACTTTACACACAGTTACTTAATCACATGAATCAGTCAATCAAAATTATATTAATAACTGGTTCAGATTGGTCAAGTTTATTGAACTCGGGCGTTGCTACGATTCTTCATACATAAAAATACTCGACGAATAATACAAAATAAGATTTAGCGGCGAGACAGTTCGTCAACTATGACTCAAGTTGCACGAACACTTAGATCTAAGTCTCAAGTATGAATCTTACCCATCCGCCAATCAATTCGTATTTTAAATATCCCAGGATGTTTTTACGGAATATGTAATGAGATTAAACCCGTTTTCTTTAATAACAATTATTTTATTATGACGCCAGAACATGGTAAAAAAGCGAAACCCGAAATTCAAGTTTATGTGCGCAGCTAATATTTAGGATGGGCTACTGAATACTGACAACGCTAAAAGCTAATATTATGTAGGAATGTATGTATAATATGTAATTTAATATTATCGTAATGAATATAACTAAGTATTTGCAATATTTTTAACCTACATAGTATAATAATAATCAAAATATATAATTATTAATTAATTAATAGAAAATTAAAACAAATTTAAAGAGTTTGGTCCTTTAACGTTGTCACATTACCTCGCTGAATTGCGACTCAATCAATTTTATACACTGATAATTATCAGTGTTTATGATTTCATCGACATATTATGATGCTTACATTTCTTTGGAGTAGAGACTCTTGGGCCGTAGGGTTTAATTGCACAGGCGTACCGGTGAGCCCAGAGCTGCTCGATCGATTTTCTATTTATTATTTTTTTATTATAAATAATTATATATTGTGATTATTATAATACTTTACAATGTTTTATAATTATATTTGTTTTGTAAACCCCAACATGAAAACATAATAGTGTTATCCTATCTGAGATATCGCCGACTTTTAGTACGTACTTATATGTTTTGTTCTGCGAAGGAATAAGAAGGGATATCTTTAGATTGCTTGAAAGTTGAATAGTAAATGGTTGACATATTTTTTACGCCGAGAGTTTTTTACGCCAGCTTTTTCTCTCGGCCTACACCCTCTGTCTTCTTTGCCGATGTGTAGGGATGCCTACAAATTCAAATTTAATGACGTGGAATAAGTGATACATGTATCTTATGTTCCATATTAAACAATATTTTATTTTATTGGTCATTTAGGACTGACCACTGACAGAAGTGGATATTAAAAGTAGAATATTTAAAAAATACCAATCTAAAGAACGTTTTTATTTTATGATACATAATTTTTTGTTTTGAGAAAAATGTTTAAACATTTACAAAAGTAGAATCAAGTATTATTCCGTTTTTGCTTGACTTCATCGCTCAACTAAGAGTGAATAAAACACGAGTATTTTCCGTGTAAATTATTACAAAAAATGCTCAAAGTTGATATACCTTTGTCGTCATACCAATTTTCGAAGGAACGTGTGAAGTTAAGCCAAGTAAACAAACACAATAGATTTTGTGTTCCTAAAAACACAAAAATCTACAAGGATGTATGAATATTCGCAACTCTTACGCAATGATGCCTAAACAGACTCAAATGGATTAAGTCGAGGCATTGGTAAGAGAATATTACAAAGTTGGTTACAAATTAGTGATAAAACGCGGTAAAGGTGGCAATATTTTCGATACAATATAAAAAAACTGTTCGATGCACGAAGCGCGTGAAAAAAGGGGGCAACGTAAAATATTGTTTTTATTTTGAAAAATAAAAAGCCAGTGTTGCTAATTTTACTGAATCTAGAATCCACACTAGCTGTATTATGAGTGACTACTCTTCTGTGGTATTTATAAAACGGTATTAAACGATATTTTGTTTGATACTAGGAAAGTGACTCCCATCGGCCATCTGCGAGATCAGAGCGTGGAGACGCTCTCTTGTCATTGTAACATTGTAAACAAATTAAATAATTCTCAAGTTACAGCACTTATATTCTTTAGTGGTATGTCTGTGTGAAGCGGTTTGTGGTAACGGTTGATGATCGCGTAACAAGATTTATGTATTTCCGTCGCAAATTGCGAATAAAATTATAAGGCTAATGTTATGTAAATAAAAAATATATACTAATTGATCCTTCTTGCAATTGGGGTTTTTAACAATGGTAAAGCTATGACTTTTCCATGTATTGATTAAACAATATTATATATGAGTCTTTATCATTCTTGATATGAAATTTATTACCTACTATGTGTATGACGAGGAGATTCTATTATTTATAACAATTAAACTACATTTTTTACAAGTATTATCATAATTCATGTAATAATTTGTCGTATGTTTGTACGTAAAAGTAGAATTTAATTTATATACTGAAGGTAAAAAAATATTATTTTATTTCGCTCATTTGAAATTCCTCGACTTACAGAAATTGGTTAAAGTTAATAAAAAAATTAGGGACACGGTGGCAATATGGCCCGTGATCTTTAATTTAAAAAGATTTACATAATTTATATTATGTAATTTGTGAAACACATTTACATACACCGAAAAAATGCTTTTTAAATAACTGCTTTAATTTAAAAAAAATATTGTCGTTAATTAATACTGAACTTTTAAAAATACTTTTTTTATTAACATGTTAAACATAATGTTGACTTTATTATTTTTTTGAAAACGTGCGATTATTAATTTAAAGATATTTTGTAATTATTTTCTTAATATCTAATTATTATTAAAATATCAAACTTACTTTTGCGTGTTCCGAACACAAAACGGCTAGAACTACGCGTCTACTATCGACGCGGACCAAAACATAGTGACGCTATGTGAATTGTGAGCTAGTGGTAATATTATTATACAGGGGTCACTATGACGAAATAATTTAAGGAAAACCGGAGCTAAAAGCTCATACGCAACAAAAATAACCAGATTTGTAAAGCGCAGTTTTTCCCCGCGATAAGCATATCTTATACTTTACTGAAGTTTACGATTTCATAACGTGTCTGCAGCATCCAACGATAGGCACCTAACAGAAAAGCTGACAAACAAACTAAAATTAAGTAACGTTAACTAGTTTACGGTGGTCTAATAAGTACCTACATATAAAATCAAGCGACTAAGTTAAATAGCGCGCATTCGTGATTTTTATTATTTTTCTTCGTTATTTACTGAACAAAATTATCAACTTTCAAAATGTTCATTTAGATTTGATCATCGTACAGAAGTCGAAAACACGTGCTTTTATTTACTTATTCTCGTTGCGAAGGATTAATAAAGTTGTTTTTTTAATTCAGTTTCAAGTTACCTATACTACTTTTTCTACCTATCGACTCTAGTTGGGATACTGTTATTAAATGTTATGATGATGTAGTTGGGACAAAATAAATCTACGATATATTGTAAATTAACCGATATAGTATTCGATTAAAATACCCTAGTTATTTTGAAAACCGAATCTTACTTTTCTTTTGAAGAACTTAATTGTAAAATTAAATAACTTCGTTAGAATTAAGCTTACGCGATAATTGCGTCTAGATACCTAATTACTATGGACTTACAAATAACTTCAACACAAGCTGGCATTTATTTCACAACAACCTAAGTACGTTTTCCTTTTAGCTTTTTCCTTCTTAAATTTTGTAGCTATTATACTTTACGTACTTTAAATAATAATATACGACGTTATTGAGTATAATGTTGGGTATATTAAATAAAAATAATTTATGGTTATAAATTAAATGATAAAAATAATGGATTTCAATCAATGGAAAATGTCGGTCACTACTCACTACACCTGCACAGGGGGTTGAGAAAAAATCACTAACTCCAAACTAATTTGTTTGAAAGTAGTCACGTGACTAACCGTAAGCTAATATTTTACACATGGTTTTTTCTCAAGCCACTGGATTGGTGTTCTAGAACTGCTCGAGGCCTACCTTCTCATATCACTGGCTAACGTAGGCTCTTTGCGGGGCGTGTGTAAAAACAATCGATTATTATTAAAAAAATCGATTTTTTTACGCGATTTTTATATTTAAAATAATCGATTAATAATCGATTATTTTTATAATTGAAAATCAGCCATAATCGATTTTTTATATGCCACCTCCCGACATTATGTCTGGTCTTTTATAACCCGGACCTCGAACTATTAGGGATATTCGATACACAACGATGTTTACAATGCGATACATTGAATCCGATTCTTTGAAGATGTATTGATATACTCGATACATTGGTTTTTTTTGTAAAACATCAAAAGGATGATAAAAGAAGTTAATTTTACAAAAACTCAAGTTTGAATGGAACACTATAATTTAAAAGTAAAATTAATTTATTCAGCAGCACAAGACTACATACAATTAAAAAGACAACAAAAATACTGCAATGTGCTACTGAAAAGGAATACACTCAGCATTTATCAAAATCTATCAAAACGAGATTAAGTTAATTTCGATTTTGATTATTCTTAAACGTTAATTTGTGTTTATAATTTCTATTGTTTATTTTTAATTTAAAAAAACTATGAAAAATAAAATATTTAGGGTGTTTATTTTGAAATTAATTCAAAAATTAGGAAAAAATCGATTAATAAAAAAAAACGATTATTTTTTTAAGAAAAATCGATTATTTTTTTAAGAAAAATCGATTATTTTTTTAAGAAAAATCGATTATTTATTAATCGATTATTTTATGCAGAATGTCACATCCCTAGGGGCGTGGCATGACGGTTGCCCGATGACTCGGTAGCCATTCCAGCGCAAACAAATTAGTGTAGCTTTGTATATCAATCTACCCACCTAGCATCGCGATAAACGCTTATCGTATTTAATTTAACTGTCATTAATAAATACTTACATACACTCCGCAACTTCTAGGGGGGCATGTAGCCGGAAAGTTTGCACTATGCAGTATAAACTATGCTGTATGCAGTATGCACTAAGCATTAAGGAAAGACTTTATGTAAATAATAATAATTATCTATTTATCAGACAACCTAATGTGCATTGAATTAATATTAGTGGTTGTAACATTAATTTCTTTAAAACTACTAAAGTAAAATTAGGTTAGAACTTAAATGTACAAGAAATGAATTTATCTTTACCAGCCTGATATCGAGTCTATGAACATAAATGTCAGTCGTACGAGTTGAATGTCGAATTTACTGTTAAATGTCAAGAAAATTACTTAAAGCTGTCGGATGTCAATATCAACTTTTAAATTGTTAATTTAGAACACATCGTACAAAAGTAGAAAAACACGTGCTTTTATTTTTGTATTTACTTGTTCCTTTGGAAGTTCCTTCCCTTTTAAAGATTAAAACTGTGGATACACGTGTTATTTCTTAATTATGGGTGTAATGCAAAGAATCAAGTTAGTTAATTTAAATACCTACGCTAAGTTGTTACCACTCAACCTATATTTAATGGTTTTAAATAGGTATACATTGTTATTTCAGGAAACCGACAACTCGTAGAGGTAAAAAGGTGCTTCTTTCGAAAGAGCCTAAATTTATTGAAGGCCCCAAACAATGTATTTTTATACAGGGGCGCAAACCATCCGAAAGAGCACGAAAAGTTTTAAAGGATATATACGACTTAAAGAAACCAGATGCAGCGTATCTTAATCGTAAAAATGATTTTGTACCTTTTGAAGATGCAACTCTCATTGAAAAGTATGTATCTTTAAATCTAAGATTCGTTACAACTACTATTGGTATTTTTCATACAAAATTCTTTAAATTAAATAACAAACAAATGTAATAAAGTATAAGAGTAAAAGTTATCAAACCTGAAACATTTCCATTTGGATTTTACCTTGTCCCTTTTCTTAAAACTGGTGTTTTACTTTAAAATCACAATTTTGCTTGAGCTGCATCTTAAATAATAACATAATATAAAATAACAAATAAAGAAATACAAATGAATTTGGTTTCAGTTGATTTATTAGTATGTCTTAGTTCAAAACATATATGACAAAAGGTTTCACCCAAGTTAACTTATAATTTTTATTTTCAGACTATGTTACAAAAAAGAAGCTGCTCTATTTGGTGTCAGTTCTCATTCAAAGAAGCGGCCTCATAATATTATATTAGGAAGAACATTTAACTATGGAATTCTTGATATGATTGAACTTGGTGCAGATAACTTTAAGTCAATGTCTGAGTTTCACAACATGAAAGTGTTATCAGGACTAAAACCCTGTTTGCTATTCAATGGACCTTCTTGGGAATTAAATCACGATTTAAAAAGGCTGAAGTCACTGTTTATTGACTTCTTTCATCGGGAAAAGGTATGATTGGTTTTTACTTTGATTTAGGTAAAATTTTTAAACAAAAATATTCATTTGTTAGTACTTATTAGTTTTTTAATAGAAGTAGTGAGAATAATTATATAACCATAAGTATGCTTGTCACAGACACATTTTTCATATTTTTGGATGAGTCCTAATCATTTTGAACTTTTTCTTCACAAAATGTGAATGTGAAATATAAGCTTTTTTAAATTTTTCAGAATATGTCATACCATTTGTTTATGTATATGTTAATATTGAATTAAATGCTATTGAAATGTTTTGTCTTCTAAATTTTAAATCTTATTTCTGTATTTGACCTTTATTGTTAATATTTAAATTACAGGTTGAAACAATTAGGTTGCAGGGCTTAGAACATGCATTCAGTTTCACGGCAACAGAGGATGGTAACATCTATGTCAGGTCATACAGAATTCTGCTTAAGAAGAGTGGTCAGCGTACTCCAAGAATTGAACTGGAAGAAATAGGTAAGACAAACAACTTTTGTCATTTTAACCAAATTTTATTGGATATTTTTAAATACACAAAGAAACAGAAAGCCTTTTTAAGATTGTTGAAATGTATGATAAGACTGTTTTTCCCAAAAACTTAATTGGTGTACTGCTAGGACTTTTGTATGCATATAAAGACATTGTATTCTCAGTTATGGTTTATTTGCTGTACTTTCCTTTTATAAAGAAATAAACAATAATTTCAGGACCATCAATTGACTTCAAACTGAGAAGGACTAGATTAGCATCTGACGACTTACTCAAGGAAGCATGCCGAGTCCCAAGAGAATTAAAACCAATCACAAAGAAGAATATTTCGCGAGATGCCTTTGGTAGCAAGATGGGACGCATTCACATGGGCAAACAGGATATACAACGGTTACAGACCAGGAAGATGAAGGGATTAAAGAGAACTGCCGAGGAAAAGAAAGAAATGTTGTTGAAAAAGAAGAAGGCTAAAAAGGAAGCTAAAGCTCAAGCTCAATAAATGATTTTGATGATATTTGGTTTTACATTATTTTTTTTGCATGGTCACCCGCTTGTTATAGATTCTTATTTTTTATATGTAATATATTAAATACATAATTATTGTTAACTTTCGCAGGTTCTGCATTGGTAAATTTTGAAACAGTAAAATTTAATACATAACTGAACAGAACAGAACTAGCCATTTGTCACACAAAATAAATCTTCAGAAGTGTTCTTATGTAATGTGTTTTGCGTCATTAATAAAGATTACTATTTTCTTTTTTTTTAGTGACAATGCCCTTTTTTTTTTTTTTTTTTTTTTTTTTTTGATTAAAAAAAACTCTTAAAGCTTTTTTCTTTAGAGACCTTTGCCAAGTCTTATCTTCGGGCACAAATTTTCACTTATTGTAATTTCGTGTAACTTCACTTGTTATTCAAATGTTTTGCTTGTTTATTTAACTCATTCCCACGGTATTTTTAACGTATTTATATACACTATAACACTTTAGAGCAAATCACACCTGTGGCGTCGGGAGGTATTACTAACTTCTATTATTTCACTTGCACTGCTTGCACAATACTAATCTATGGAAAATGAACATTTGGTTTTGACATTCGAATAAAATATGGTTCATGTCTTCGATCTCTTCATTACAGAAAGTACAAATATTGCTATTTATTTTAAGTTTTGCGATGTGTGCAGTATTGTCTCCAATCGCAATCTGTTGATTGTGGAAATAAACACACAGCTGTATCCAACTCATACCAGGGTCTTCTCTGTAAATTCTCTTGGATACATCCATACCAATTTCCTTTACATTTTTGAGCTTATTCACTATTCATACCAATTGATTATATACGTATTCAATGAAAATACTATTCATTATATAGAAAGTCAACACAGAGAATGCAAATGTGTGTTTGTGTTTAGCAAGCAAACACTTATCATATATAGTACCGACATTTTTAGCCTATATTTTAATGCGAAAGGTGATGTTAATGAAGTATGGTGCCAATAAAAAATAAGGGTGCGTGTACTTATACGCGCGTAAGAAGTTATACTTCTTTGGCATTATTAAAAATTGTTTTTGATTGCATGCAAATAATTAATTACAATTAGATAATCAAAGACTGGAAAAGGAGTCATTATAGTCAATAAAGTTCAGTTTACATTTGAAAAATTAAATAAACAAATATTTATTATTATTCTCTTACATTAAGTGTAACATAAATTATATTATTATTCGAATGTTGTTTTTAAATTATGTCCAATGCCGTAGCATCTTCCGCGAGCAATTTATTCTGTTAATTTTGTGTCACGGTGCGCGCGCATCGTAAAATTTCACTCTCATCAATTTTTCATAACGCGCCTAAAGAAGTATAACTTCAAAAATGAGTGGAACAATCGCACCGTTGTATTAATTAATTCATATGTACAAGTTAACCCACAGGTGCTAGGTTTGAATCGTGCGAAAGGAAAACTAGTTATGTACAAAATGACATTCATACAAAAACATACATCTCGCTTATTATTAAAGTTGGAAACAAAATTCACTTCGGAATATCAGTAGTGTCATGGAATTGTACAAGTATTTGTCTAATTATAGTCTTGATACTTTATAGATACCAATCGATTTATAGCGTATAATGTCTCACTTAGTTTTTTCCTTCCTCTTAATAAATAATAAATGACTATGTTACTCTGTAGGTGCTTACGATATAATTATCGTATTAAAATTAATAATGTACCTACTCTAGGCCGACTCAGTTATAGCGTCTGATCGCCATGGCATGTCATGTACACAGATATCATTGTGCGCAATTATACAAATCCACTCATCTATCATCTATAATCATATCATCATCTATAACTTTAGTATGGGAGACCAGGTACAAAAGTATCAGCGGGTCGAAAGTAACATGCTCTAGAGTTTTATGCAATAGCTTAACACTGCCTCACTGCTGTAAAGTTGGAACCGATGACGCCCTCCTCACTTGCATTCAACGGTAAACCCCTGCGCCTTGCTGTTAGGTTGTATGAAAGGACCTGTTTGGTTTTAGGATATTAGTAACTGTGGCTGATGCTAATAATGCTCAAGGAGGACATAATATCTTCTTTTCGTGTATTCCCGTTAAAGCGATACCAAGAAAAGATCATAGTACATGAAGGTCCTGTTCGTTGTGCCGAAGTTTCTTCAAGTCTCTGTGATTCATATAAACTACACAATTATAAGGTAAATCAAGACTAGATTTGCCGTACATACATAGTGTGGCTCTGTAAATTTCAATTCAATAATTACATCTAACCAGAATTTAAGGTGGGAAAGATACGATCTCTTGTATTGCTTGGCGTGAGCAGACGCAAGACCGTTGTTATTCCTAGTCCACGAAGTTTTAAACACTGGCAACGTCCAAAGTTTACCAATCATATTTTTCTTGGATACATTGAAAGGGCGTATTTTTTATATTTTTGGTCGGATTTAAACACACGGCCTTATGTCTACAGTCGAATGATTAAGTCGAGTCTTAATTTTTTTACTTTATGTGTATGTCATTTGTAATTTACGTTATGCTAAAGGAACCTATAAACATACTCTCAAATAGTTACTGAATTTTATTATCGCTCTGCATCACTATGTAACCAATTCGACTTAGGGTCTTTCAAGAAAGGTGTGGAGGTACCAATTGTTAAAATACCGGCAACGCATTTTTACGCACCTATATATAAATAAATATATATATATGTACATATATATTTATTCTCTCTCTCGTTTTACTTAGAAATGAAACAAGTGATGCGAGTGCGAAGATGGAGCTGTCTTATTGTTAATGTTTATTTATTTATGTAACCCATACTTCTTAGAATAAAGAAATACTTTGTGTATTTCTTTATTACGTTATATTAAGCACTCTCCAATTCCAGGCCGGCAACGCACTTGCATCTCTCACTATGGGAGTGTCTATGGGCGTATCACTTAACATCACATGAGCCTCCTACCCGTTTGCCACCTATTATATAAAAAACTACCTATACGTAAAGTATTGTAGGGTAAATATAATTATGTTTATAACTTAAAGTGTGTTGATAATAATTGATGTTGTTGAATTGATGAGTTTCATTTTTTCTTGTTCTCTAATAAAACGGGTCTTAGAATATTAAAACGCAGTTTAAAAAATCCTTGGTAGTTAAAAAACAGTAATTAAATAACATCTACGCAATACAGTGGTATGTCGTATGTGATATCTTCGTATCAATTTAATAACAATACCGATTAATTACTAAGTTGCGGTGGGATTTATTAATTATATCCTTTTATTGATTGTATTAGAAGATTTCGGTGGAATGTGAGTCCTCCAACGAGGCATAAGGAAGGCACATTTCTGCGTCTATGTCATTTAGGCAGTTTCAATTAAGTCCTGCGTTAAGATGGGATAGTAAAATGCAATTTAATACAAAAGTATAGTCTCCATTCATTCTATAATTTAAAACCCCTAAAGGAGCGTTCAAGTATTACGTAAAAAATGGGGGAGGGGGTTATCCTTTTGTAAAACGTTACGATGCCGGGCAGGTATTAAATTACGCGTTATTGTTAATATTATTTTCGACTTTCCAGTACTTTACACCACATAATGGTAACTTTTAGGTATAAAGAGTCACTAGGTGGTCACGAAACGTTTTACTATTGGGTACAGAAAAACGTTACGGCGCGTTACATGGGGGGTCAATAATCTCCTAAAAAATCGTGACGTAATACTTGAACGCTCCCTAAACGGGAAGTTTCGCCGCTCCCGGTTGTCAATTAAAATGCATAGTTTCAATTTGCCTATTAATTGAGAATGCTAAGTATTCCGCTACTAACTTTGGTATTTTTACAGTTTGCTAACAACAACTAGTCCTTGCATATGAAAATTAGGGCTGCGCGCGAGGTGACAAAGTATTTCGGCGAGGAAATTATCAATGAAGTGTTCGTAATTACCAAATTGTCCAACGTTTCGGTACTTTTGTATTGAAGGTCCTTTATATTGTGTGACTGTCCACGATGAATAACACAAATGCCGTTGCGGTCTATTCCCATGCCGTTCATTCCCATGCGATCCATTCGATTTGAGTAAATATTTTTTGAGCGCAGAAATCTAGCAGAGAAGAACGGCGATATTAATGGGGCAGGGCGTGTAGCAACTACAGAAGGAGGATGAGGCCTTCACCTGTAAAGGGGTTCTTGGAAACGAATTAGAAATAAGATATTATTACAGATACAAATTAGTGTAATTGATTTTTTTTAAATTATAATAGAATTAAGTTTTCGTTACTTTGATTTTGCCTCAAATTGTTATATAGTTTTTGCTTTTTATATTGTTATAAAATTTAACCTAAAGAAAGTTGAAGAAAAAAAATAGGCGCAGAAATGTGCATACAGACGTAACACGAATCATCGAATCAATTATTATATATACTCTCCAAAGGCTTTGATTAGGTTAATGTAATAAAAAAATAGGATATGCCGGAAAACTGGCTATCATTCGAAACTCCTCAGTGAATAACTAAAACGCTGTAACTGATTGTGTACCTCCTAGAAATTTGTTTTGTTACTAAAATTTATTTCATAGTACTTTTGATTTACAAGATAATGCTCTCATTATCAGGCCATCCAATTTGTTAATAATAATAATCCTATCATGAAATCAAAATACCTATGGGAAATTTTGACCGTAAACACATTTTTATAGTAGGTACATTTAAAATATATTTTTTTTTAGGTTAACGCCTTTAGTAGGTACACCTACGCGTTCGTATGCGGCTGCGAGTCTTTGCGAAATAATTGCGGTAGCGAAATATCTGCGGAACGTTAGTAGGTACACTGCAGTTTTTTCGCAAGGAAATGTCATTGTAGCTTTCGTGGGCTGTAGGTGCAGACGTCGTTTCAGAATGTCATCTGCGTCGTCCCAGTCGTCGCTTTCAGATTCTGAAGAGGAAGAATTGTTGTTGCTGGCGTCGGTATTAAAGAGAAAGCAGAATTG